GCCGCAGTGCCGGCATGCCTTCCCATCACTGCCGAGGCACCGGGTCCATGCTAGGGACCGGCCATCCCCTGGGAGTGGAGCAGCCTCCCAGGAAAACCAGGGCGACCCAAGCCAGGTATCACTGCCAGGGTGATCGCAGGCGGTTTGGTCAGTATTGGCGAGGGAATTAAAGCACAGACAGGGCCAAAGTCAGCCGAGAGCAATCAGCAACTCCTCCCCTACGGCCTGCCTCAATGCACTGTTCCCAGGATTCAGCGGTGATGTCCGATACCGTGGCCCCCTGCCCTGCCCGTCCCGCCTGCTGCCTGCACAGCTCTGGCAGCGCCGTGCTCGGCTGGGCTCTGCGCGGGGGCCCTGCTGTCCTCCCTGGGCTCCGGGTCTGGCCCCGCTCTTTGCTGGTGACTCCCATTACTGGCTCTCCTGACAAAAAATGACCATCCGGTTGCATAAAATAAACCCCCAAATTTGAAAGGAAAGGATCGTATCTGTGGTTATTTATTTTTTACCGGCAGCCTCAGGGGTGTGGGCAGACGCTGGGCAGCGGAGATGGGCAGGGAGGCACCGGGAGGCACGCTCGGACCCAGCAGATCTCCCGAGAGCAGCACCGGCACGCCACACGCTGCCTGCAGTGCATGCGGGTGCTTACACACACATGTGCACGCGCACACACGGCTCCGACCCCGGCGCCGGTGCTGCTGCAGCTCCGTGGGAGCTCTCCGGTGCCCCGGAACAGATTTCCCCGGCAGCCTCCAGGACGCTGCATCCCGGGCGCTGAGCAAGGGCTGGGGCGAGCGGCCGGTCCCTCCGGCACGGTGCCACCGGCCTCAGGAACCCACGCACACGCTGGGACCGGGGTGCAGTTAACGCTGGAGCAGGACACAGCCTGGGGACATGCATTAAAGCCTGGCCTGAACTGTTCCTCCCGGTGGGTTTAAGGCGATTACTCCAAAGGCAAACAATAGCTCATAAGCAGGTTTCAAAGTTAACCATAAGCAAACTGGGGTGGTGGGTGGTTTTTCCCCTCCACAATGTCCCAGCATGTCACCGGAGGAGATGCCTGGTGTTACTGGGGTGCAAAATGGTCCTGAGCGTCCTGCCTGGCGCAGGAACCCCCTCGATGGCCCCGGCACAGCTCGGACCCCAGCATCTGCGCTTGTCCTGGTGCTTCCCGGGCTCCACTGGACCAGCCCGTGCCCCACGCCCTGCTTTGAACCCACGCTGCCTACCCCAGTGCCAGACTGGTGCCTGGGGCAGCGGCACGGCGAGGGCAGACCCTGGGGCAGCCGGACAGCCTGCACCGGCTGGGCTTCACCGACAGGGTCTGGGGACCGGTGGTGGTGGCCTCCCTAAATGACGCCCTTGAGTGACATG